CCCTGTTCCAAACCCCGCGCTCATCGGGCCCCACCGCGTGCACACGTGAGTGAGTCCTCTCATTTCTCTCCACACAAGGGGGGGTCAGGGCTCTCCGGCGGTGCGTGCTTTGCTCCTGTCCCCTGTCGCTGCTCCCGGTGCGCTGGCGTGCCAGGAGGGGCCGTTTTGCTGGCTGCAGGTAGAAGCGGGTGTTGCGATCGCTTCTTGCGCAGCACAGTGGCTGGATTAAGGCTGCCTGGTTTGGATCTCTTCTTCCATTTGGGTTTCTCTGCTCCCTCTCCTAAATGCCCTGCTGGTCCTCAAGCCACCTCGAGGACGTCCCTCAGCCCCACCAGCTTGTGCAGCCACCTTGGAATAAAACCCCTCTCACGTTCAATTGCTCCCGTCCCCGTGGATCCCACAGCCGTGATGCTGCATCTGTGCCTCCTATATCTCCAGCCTCCCTGGCCCTCCACGCCCCAAAGAAGCCCCCCAGAAGGCGACTTGGGGGTCACCTTGCTTTTTACCCCTTGACCCTTTCTGGGCAGGCCCTGTGCCGTGCCGAGAGCCCAGTGTCAGCAACCCCGTCCCTGCGCCCTGGGAGCAGAGCAGTCAGTGGTGGCGGAGAGCAGAGCCTCGTACCCGCACCTCGTCCCTGCGGTGGAGCCTCAGCCCGGGGCTGGAGGAGGCTGCTCTGTGCTGCAGCCTCTCCGGAGATGTTTCCCATCCAGGAGGAGCTGCTTTCGCAGGGGCTGTCCGCAGCCACGTGCCAGGTGAAAGCCAGGCGTCCTTTCCCGTCTGGCAGAGCTGGAGCTTGTGTCCCTTCCCCGATCCCCTGCGACCGCGGTCCTGCTCCCAGCCGTCAGCATTGGAGCTCAGTCCCGGTGTCGCCCCGCGCTGTCTGTGCTGGGCCTCCTTTGCTCCTGTCGAAGCCCTGGCAGCTCACCATCAAACCCAGCCTCTCGGGGGGCTTTATCCGGGTGGCATCGGTCAGACGCAGCCCCGCGCCCTCCCCGGCTGGAGCAGCTTTGCCTGCCTCTTGCCTGCGTGGAGCTAGTGAGCCGCTGGAAATCTCCTAGGTAATGGATAATGTAATAACATTTCAAATGAGATCTGCAGAGCGGGAGGAAGATCTGGGGGAACTCTGGGAGAGAATGCAGGCAAATCTCACCGCAGTCTCGTCCTCACGGGCCAGAGACGGGGCAGTGCCGGGGGCCTCAAACCTGCCTCTTCCCGGCCAGGTCCTCCCTTAGTCCCCTGGCCTGGCTCGGGCTCTCTGCTGGCGGCAGCTCAGGGCCGAAGGGGAAAGGAGAGAGCATATGGTCTCTCCGGAGACTGAGGGTACTGCGTGCCGTGCGGTGAAGCCGCAGTCTGCCTCTGTCTCCCCAGGGGAGAGCCATGTCACCTCTGCGGCAGGTCGGAGCAGGGTTCCCCATATGGCTGCTGCGGGCGGGAGCTGGCCCCGTTCCTGGGGATGGAGCTGCCCCGTCCTCCTCGCCCCCACGGTGGGGAGAAGGGGAGCCGTGCCGCAGCGCCCCTCCCGCACACGGCCCCTTCTCACACGCCCGATGGGAGGCCTGGGCTGAGCCCAGGGCTGGCTCTGGCGGCGGAAATGGAGCCAAGGGGCGTGCGTTCGGTGCGGTGGACGAAGCGGGGACGAGCTGCTGCAGCCCTTCCCGGTGTATGGATCCCCAAATCGCTCCCACTTGGTAGGGAAGTGCTCAGCCCCCAGGAAGACACACACCCGTGCCCCGCTCATCGCGGTGACGGTCGGGCATGCGCTGGGCTCCAAACAGCTCGGTTGCAGCAAGTGAGCGTCCGACCTTTGAGTGCTGCACAGAGGAGGCCTGTAGCATTGCTGGTTTTCTCTGTGGGGAAACTGAGGCACAGGGCAGTCGCAGTGGCAGAACCAGCTGCCTTGAAGCCTTCTCGTGCTCTGTCTCTTGGCCCCTGCTGCCTTTCGCTCCCCGGAGGGGTTTCCTTTCTCCTCTGAGCTGTCGCTGTTTGCTCTGCGACGACAGCGGGATTCCCACCCTCCCTCTACCTGCGGGTCTGAAAGCTCTTCTCCCTCTCTCATCCCTGGCGAGTGCACTTGACCCCGTACCCCAACTAGCACAGCAAGGCGGCGAGCAGGAACCTTCCTGATGATTTTCTCTGTGTTTCCAGGTGTCTGTGGATATCAGCAGCAGCGCAATTCGCGTAGCGGTGCTGGAGGGGAGCAGCCAGCGCGTCCTCATGGAAGGGAAGCTCACCCACAAGATCAACACAGAGAGTTCCCTCTGGAGCCTGGAGCCGGGGAAGTGCGTTTTGGTAAGGGCAGTCCGCGCCAGTCGTGTCTCCGCACCCTGGCTTGCAGCTCCACTGGGCTTGACCTGGAAAACTGGAGCAGTTGGAAGTTTGAGCTGAATCTGGACATGTCTGGCCCTCCCCATCTAATGTCCGTCTCGCTTTGCCCTTGCCTGTGTGCCCTGCCCTGCCTCCAGCTCCCGAGTTGCCCCTCCGGGTGGGCGGCAGCAGCGTGGCGGGGTGCTGAGTTCCCTGCCATCCATTTCTGTCCTGCCTCGGGTTTTGTCCTTACCCTGTTTGAAGCTCCACTGTGGCTACTTCGCTGTTTGCCTTCAGCGGGCACTGTGCCCGCTGCCCCAGCGTCACAGATCTTCCCTGTGGAGGTGGTTCGGGGGCTGCTGGCGCCCAGCAGCGCGTTGCTGGTGGGTTCCCAGCCTCGCTGGCTCGTTGCTGGTGTGCTCCAGGTGGCCAGGCTGAGGGGGCGAGTCCTGCTCTCCTGGGGCTGTGGCCACAGCTGAAGCTGTCCTGGGGTTTGCATTGCTGCCCATCAGCCTGGGATCTCAAGTGTCAAACAGTTGCCAAACCCCCGTGCAAGTTTTGGGGCCGGGATTGTGCTGGGAGTGGGGTTTTGCCACCTGTAGCCACCTTTGCCTTTTCCAGAGGCTTTCCCGGGTGCATTTCAGGAGCTCTCAAGGCTGTTGGCAGCCCCAGGAGGGGGTCAGGCAGGCGAGGCAGTTCCTGACCCCAGCACAGGCCCCGTCCCTGCAAAGGAGGGAGTGGGTTTGAAGCCGCCTGCCCCATGTCAGGAGGGTGGCAGCAAACGGGCACCCAAAGCCAAGCCCCCACAGTGGGAAATGCAGTGGGAACGCGCTGCCGGAGGCAGAAGTGCTGGGGGCGGCACGCAGGGAGGCTGCGCGGGCACTGCAGATCCGTATGGACGTACCCCAGGATGACGGACCTGGTGCCAAAGAGTGAGGTCCCTCCTAGAAAGAGGAGCTTCCCCGGCTCTGTTAGGCCGTTGAAAGGATGTGAAAAAGGAGGCGGTGACATCATTAACCTGCATTTTTTAAAATTAGCTGATCTGGGGAAGAGAAACAATCTCGGGAGTAAACCCATTCAAGAGGAGGTGGCCCAACGGGTGGCTGCTCTGCGGCGCGGATGGGAGTCCCTGGTGGGTGTTCCCAGGATCAGCAAGGGAGGCAATGTTTGTTAAATACCCGGTGCTGGAGGAGGACGGGAACAGCGCGCGGGTGGAGCGAGACTCGGGGCCTTCTGGAGCGGCCGCGGGCAGCGCAGGGAGCGGGTCCCGTTCCCTCCAACCCTAGAGCTGGGTCTTGCCTCGAATTAGCACGAGCACAGGGTTGTGAGGATCTCCAGCTGGCTGCCAACATATTGATGGTGGGATGAAATTTCGCTTGAAGAATTGTAAGGTAACTGGAGCAGAGTGAGTAATTCTCGCCCAAGAGCATCCCCTTTTTCCGTGCACAGAGTAGCCAAAAGTGGTTTGCGACTCCTCCCAATTCATTCATCAGGAAACACCCAGCCGTGGGTTAATGAATTGCTTCGTTCAGCGCCTGGGAGGGGACTGGATGGGAGCTGTTTGGGTTTGGGTGGGGGGCTGACAGGGCGTCTGGGCCCTTTCCGTTCCCGAGTTTGCGTCCACATGTTGCACAGCTCCGTGTGAACTCCGAACGCGGCGGTCGGGAGCGTCTTCCTCCTGTGAGATGCCGCAAGGTGCTGCCTGGCTTCCCGCGCCGGGACCCAGGAGACGGCGTGCCCTGGCAGGGTGGGGATGCAGCCGAAACCGAACTCGCCCAGTGCCAGCACTGGGGTCGTGCGAGGAGATCCTGGCCGCCTCGGTAACTGCTTGGGGCCCCTCGGCAGCTCTGTCCAGGGAAAAACCTGTGCGTGTTCGTTGTGGTCTGCAAGTTGACGCAGTCCCTGCGGGCAGAGCTCGATCCCTGTGCTGACGGGGTGGAATCTCTCCTGCTTGGTCTTGACCGTCTGGTCAAGTCCCAGGTCAGTGCAGGGAGGCCGTTGAGTCCCACGTGCTCTTGCGGGACACATCGAGGATCGTCGAGATCCCTGTGCTCTCCGGGATGGTTACGGCCGCCTTTCGCCTCCTTGGCTTCCCCCACCCCCAGCTCAGCTCCCTTCTGGGGCGGCCGTTCGCGGGCCCTCATGAACAGGCCGCCCTTCTTACCCCAGCTCTTGCCTTAAGAAGGGCGATTTGCCTTAGAGCGCCTGCTGGTGCTGCTTTCACCATCCTATCTGGTGCTCTCATTAATTCATCCCCTTCGCCACATGTCTGCCCGCTCCCCGGCAGCCCCAGCGCTCTTTTCCCGGTGCTTAGAGACCGCTCTGCCTTTCCCCTCCTGCTCCGCGAGGTTCTCCCTGCCGGAGCCCTGGGCTGAGCACCAACGTGTTTCCCATCTTGTCCTTTGGCACGCTCGCGGTTTGCACGACAGCCCGGCCGTGGCAGAAACCCAGCGGGCACCGTTTCGAAGCGGAGCACTCTGCCGATGCCCGCGACGCGTGGCGGGGGCTCTGCCCACACCTCCTCCCGCTGGGGATCGTGTCCCGGGATCATACCCCTGACTGCAGCACCGTGCCGAAGCCCCGGTCCCGGGTATAATCCCTGTGTTCTCCCTTCTCTGTCACACCCGCTCGCTTGTCAAAAGTGAGATTAAAATAGCTTCGCACAAGCTGTTTTTAGAAGTCTCCTCTGGGTGTTGTGCACAACACGTTTTGGGATTATTTTCGTTGTTGAGGATTTTTTCCCCCCTGTTCCCTCTCTTTTTCTCCTCCTGTCCAGCATTTGTTATCCACGCTTGGGCTTTTGTCACCAAGTCCTGCCCTGAACAGCTCCTACAGTCTTTGGCTCGTCATCTGGTGAGCTGCGAGGCTGAGTTAATAATAATCCGTGGTGCTCTCCCCCTGCCCTGCCCTCCACACGCCGTCGCCTCTTCCTCCTCCGAACCCCCTCAACGTCTCCCACTGACTTTTGGGGCGCCGGCTGCTGCTGTTCCAGAAGGAAAGCAGGTGGTGAGAGGTTGTTTTTCCAAGACCTACTTATATCCCTTGGCAGCATCTCTCCGGCTCTGACAAGGTATTTAGGATCGGGGAAGAAACCTCGTGCTCTGACGAAGCCCGGCACCGGCAACGAGGGGTTGTGACCTTCCCAGCAGGGCATGGAGATGTGACATGACACCACGTCCATGCTGATGACGCCCGTCACCCTCTTTGCCTGCTGCTGGAGGATCCCTCCTGGCCGCAGACGTGCCTGCCGAGTATCCCATCGCTCCCCCGTGCCCATCGCTGCCTGCAGCGATCGTCCTTGCGATCCGTCCTCGTCCGGCCCCTGCGCTTTGCCGAGCGTGCCGACACAGGAGCAGCCCCTTCCCCTCCTGGCTCACAGCTCACGTCTCAGACATCGGCTTTGGGAACGTGGGCACTGCAGCACGAGGATGCTGCTGGCTTCGGATACGGCGGCAGGGGCGTCCCCCCTGCAAGTCTCCCTCTCCTCAGGCCACCGCTGCAGAGGCTGCTCCTGCTTCCTCTGCACCCCAAAAGACTCAGCTGGGCTTTTACCCCTTTCGCCTGTGGGCAAAGGATCTCCCGACAGCCCAGGAGGCCCTTTAGGACCCCCCAGCCTAAAAAGCAGAGCCCAAGTCTGATCAAGAGCCTGGGCGTGCTGCAGGGACCCAATCCTTCCTCTGGCAAATGGCCACCACCGCTTCCAGGACCCTGGAGGGTCGGCCTGAGCAGTCGGCTGGGAAACTTGTAGTGGCAGCTCCAAGTGTGGGCGAAGCTTTTGCCTTGTCTTGAAGGGAGAAACGTAATCAGGTCAAGATTTGTCCTCGTGAAAAAAGCCCTGCTGCCTCCTGGAGCCCTCCCTGGGGTTTCCAGAGCGCTCCCCGAGGGAGCATGCGGCCTTGCGTGGTGCTGTCGGTGGAGTGCCGGAGCCTTTCTCTGAGGGTGGGTGAGGGCTGGTGCTCCAGGGCATCACCCTGCCAGGGCTGAGCCCAGAGACCTGCCATGCTCTCTCAGCTCTCCCTCACCTCGACCTTCTCACACCCAAGAGCTCAGCGAGGCTCCCGCCCGCATCCCCATCACCGCAAGCTCTCGTAGCTCACATGCCCAGCCAAGCGCCGGGCTGAACCGGTGGGGACCCTCGACAGAACCGCGGCCGAGAAATCAACCCGAGCCCCTGCTTCCCGTCCTGCAGGTTGGACCTGTCCGCAGCGAGCGCTCCAGCACCGCTTTGAACCGTGAAACCCCAAACTCAAGGTGATAGAGCCCGCTTCACCCTGGCCCGTGGGCATTTCGGAGACTCACGTCAGAAAGCGGGGCTCCCACCTCAGAGCGAGCCCCACTTTTATGTCTCTCCCCCTGGGATAAAGGGGGATGAGCAAATTCCCCCGTGCGCACAAGGCAAGCTGCAGAGGTTAATTAATGATTGTTTGCAAAGCTCTCAGTGCTGTAGCGATGCACACCGCAGAAAAGCTGGCGAGGAAATGAATAATTCTGTCTTCCCAGCAGGGTGGGGACCAGTATGCAGTAAATAAAGCGAGGGCCACGCGTGGGGTGGGGAGGAGGAGAGGATCCCCGGGCGGGCGCTCTCGGCAGCAGCTCTGCTGCCTTTTGCTGAGGGTGGTCTGCAGACGAGGGGGATTTGGGGCTCCTGGGTGTTTCCCACTTGCTCCGTGGCTCTGTGGGGGTTCCCTGGGGCCTGCAGGAGGGGGACACAGTGGTGGGGTGCAGGGGGAGGAAGGGGATTTGGTACGGGAGGGAGAGGAGATGGGTTTTCTTTCCGCCGATGCTCTGAGATGGAGGTGGGCTGATGCCCGGGAAGCCCTGACGTCCTCCAGTGTCCGTTCATCCCTCTGCTGCCAGCCCGGCTCGTGGTGGGGCCGGTGCCACGTGCGCTCAGCAGCGATGCCATGAGCACGGCTCACACCGACGCCAGCGCCAGGAAAGCTTGTGCCTCACCGGCAGCG